ACTCTGCCGTCCAAAGGAAAAAAAGGGTAACTCGATTTTTTGGGAAATTGAGATATTGGTATCAGTGGATAGCTCTCGACGAGACACATCTCCCAATATCTAAAAATATATATGATGTATATGTAAACTTTCGAGATATAGACGTTTGAAATTTGGCATTTTGTGTTTTTTTGTAGCAAGGGCTGAAACTCGCATTATGTTCAAGGGAAAAAAGCGGCATCTCGATGCCGCTTTTTTCCCTTGACTTTACTACGCCAGAGGAATCTAATTTCAACGGAAAGAGACGATAAGTCCACAAATAGTGTCTCCTGGCTGGAGGTGCCTTCTCGATTGTTGACATGAAATCACTGCACAAGGACCACTTTAATTGGTTCTTATTTTAGCGCCAATTATTTATTTAGACAAACTCCGATATAAACAACTTGTTTATGATTGCAACATGAAAAAGGAATAAACAAACACCTTTATTAGGAAATAATTTACTTCTGACAATATTCAAACATCGCTAAGATTAAACCCGGCCTACTTTTCTGAGCAAATGCATCTGACGAACCGCGAGACCTTTGAACCTCCCGCCAAAGCGGCCATGGCTTGCAGACTGCAGTAATTAATTCATAGTGCGAAAGTCATACGATTAACGATGGCCTCCAATGTAAATTACGAACATAAAACTATTAAAGGGAAACAATTCATCAAGGTGGCCTGGGACAATCCTGACGCAAAATATTCTGCAAACTTCGTCCCGATTTCAAGCATCAAGTTCAATGAAGATGATGTTCTCCAAGCTGGTACGTCCGTGCGAGTGAAATACGGGAAGACACTCTGGACAGGGACAATCGAGAGTCGCCAGTGCCCGATAAAACGCAGCCGTCCAGCTTCTGACTTCGTGGAAGGCAAGTTACACTTAATTGCGTTCTCAATGCCTATTGTCTACAGCGTTTAATAAATTCCACCAAATAAATCAAAATCTCGCTACTCCTAAACTGTCAGCAGACTGACTGCGGCATTATTAGGATTAAGAAGATTGGTTGTCCCGGTAGATGTGCTCAGATCCGTTGTCATCGCTTAACACCCCTATTTACTGCTCGTAAGATGCAAAATATTCCCCAACTTATTCGATCAGAGAGTAAAAACTGAGGCGCTTCGTGCCGCTTGATTTTGAATAACCGGCCGCGTTGGTGAACACCCAGTGCATGCTTCTTTAGCCGTACCCACCAAAGGCGAGGTCATCATGCAAGGTCAACATCCGAGCTCGTTTTCAGAGCTCATTTGTGTGCCAAGACAGCTCGCTGCAACAAATGCTTGGAGCAGTAGCTTTAATTTGTATGGCTTCGTCACTTGTGGTTCATAATTGACACACCTTTAACCTCCCCAGATGTGTCCGACGACGATCTTCCGCTTTCAAAGCTGGCGGCAAGCCTTCACAAGCAGCCCGGTGCCCTGACAGCCGATGGACCAGTCAGCCTCAATCAGCCGCCTGCGGGGACGTCCGCGTCGGTCCGACTTGGACAACACAACGATGTGGACCTAATGGGGCCACACGACTTCATCACAATAATGCAGAATCTCCAAAGCCCCGAGTATGTCAGTAGCGTGTTGTCCGACGAGGCATTCCAAACCATCGTAAGTGCCGACCTCTCCACCGAGTCGCCGCCCTGCCCCGGCACCTCCGGCGCGGGAGAGCCGCACCCGACTCTCCTCCCAGGGCCCCCTGGCTTCTCTGCCGAGTCGCCGCCCTGCCCCGGCACCTCCGGCGCGGGAGAGCCGCACCCGACTCTCCTCCCAGGGCCACCTGGCTTCTCTGCCGAGTCGCCGCCCTGCCCCGGCACCTCCGGCGCGGGAGAGCGGCACCCGACTCTCCTCCCAGGGCCCCCTGGCTTCTCTGCCGAGTCGCCGCCCTGCCCCGGCACCTCCGGCGCGGGAGAGCCGCACCCGACTCTCCTCCCAGGGCCCCCTGGCTTCTCCACCGAGTCGCCGCCCTGCCCCGGCACCTCCGGCGCGGGAGAGCCGCACCCGACTCTCCTCCCAGGGCCACCTGGCTTCTCTGCCGAGTCGCCGCCCTGCCCCGGCACCTCCGGCGCGGGAGAGCGGCACCCGACTCTCCTCCCAGGGCCCCCTGGCTTCTCTGCCGAGTCGCCGCCCTGCCCCGGCACCTCCGGCGCGGGAGAGCCGCACCCGACTCTCCTCCCAGGGCCCCCTGGCTTCTCCACCGAGTCGCCGCCCTGCCCCGGCACCTCCGGCGCGGGAGAGCCGCACCCGACTCTCCTCCCAGGGCCCCCTGGCTTCTCTGCCGAGTCGCCGCCCTGCCCCGGCACCTCCGGCGCGGGAGAGCCGCACCCGACTCTCCTCCCAGGGCCACCTGGCTTCTCTGCCGAGTCGCCGCCCTGCCCCGGCACCTCCGGCGCGGGAGAGCGGCACCCGACTCTCCTCCCAGGGCCCCCTGGCTTCTCTGCCGAGTCGCCGCCCTGCCCCGGCACCTCCGGCGCGGGAGAGCCGCACCCGACTCTCCTCCCAGGGCCCCCTGGCTTCTCCACCGAGTCGCCGCCCTGCCCCGGCACCTCCGGCGCGGGAGAGCCGCACCCGACTCTCCTCCCAGGGCCCCCTGGCTTCTCCACCGAGTCGCCGCCCTGCCCCGGCACCTCCGGCGCGGGAGAGCCGCACCCGACTCTCCTCCCAGGGCCACCTGGCTTCTCTGCCGAGTCGCCGCCCTGCCCCGGCACCTCCGGCGCGGGAGAGCGGCACCCGACTCTCCTCCCAGGGCCCCCTGGCTTCTCTGCCGAGTCGCCGCCCTGCCCCGGCACCTCCGGCGCGGGAGAGCGGCACCCGACTCTCCTCCCAGGGCCCCCTGGCTTCTCTGCCGAGTCGCCGCCCTGCGTGGGAGAGCCGCATTCTTCACCCGACATGCAGCCGAACTCGCGGAAACGTGCGAGAACCAGTGACCAACAGAGTCGAGCCTTCCTCAGCAAGCATGGTGTTAGGCCAGTTCCAGAGAGCTGCAGTAATGGCACGTGCAAGTACGGCTGCGCTGAGCGGTTTTCTGAGGCGCAGCGCGCACAAATAAACCAAAGTGTCAACCTGTTGCCCAGACAGGCAAGAGTGCAATGGTACGCCTCACATGCCGATGACATAACACCCACTGTTGTGGACTGCCTGCCCGTCAGTGACCCGGCCGCCCGAAGGAGGAGGCTGATCGCCTACTTCCTGCCGTTAGAGAACGGAAGGAAACAGCCCGTGTGTAAGGCTTTCTGCCTCGCCACACTTGGCTTCAGTCAGGCCAACGATGGGCCAATGCTGTCCGCCGTGCGTGCCCTATCTGCTCCGGAGGAGACACGGGGTCGCTCAGTCCCGCCTAACCGTGTCAGTAGGGAGGTGCTGCGGGCACACATCGAGAAATATGAGCCGGTCAGTCCGCACTACCGCTACCTACATGCTCCAAAGCGCAGGTATCTCCCTGCCGATCTCACAGCCATGGACATGTACAGCCACTTAACGGAGGAGCAAGGCGCGAACTTTTGCACATATGAAACATTCCGTAAAGCACTCAGGGAAGCAAATGTCAGCTTCACGCGACTTGGCTCGGAAGAGTGCGACATGTGCAAGGCATACAGCCTCCACATCAAGGAGTGCCATGTCGATGCGGAGTGCCAGGTGTGTTCCGATCATGGAACTCACCTGAAGAACGCAGAAGAGAGTCGAAGAGCCTACCAGAAGGACAGGGACCGAGTGGCGGGGGAGGACGAGACTCTGGTGTCCGTGGACATGATGCGAGTGACCGTCCTGCCAATCCTGCCACACAAGGTATGCGTGTTCACGCCACGTCTCGTCGCATATAACGAGACGTTCTCGCCGCTGGGAGGAAGCAGGTCCGGGCGGCCTGTCAGTGTCACATGGCACGAAGGTGTCGCAGGCAGGGATGCGTCTGACGTGGCGTCGACTTTCGTGAAGTTTTGCGAGCGCAACCGCAACGCGGAGGCAATTACGTTTTGGGCAGACAATTGCTCTGCCCAAAACAAGAATTGGATCTTGCTGACTGCTCTGCTGCACCTCGTCCATCGCCAGGACCTGGCACTCAAGACGGTGACGGTAAAGTTCCTTGAAAAGGGACATACCAGCATGTCGGCAGATGCTGTCCATCAGGTGGTCAATAAGTTTCTGTCGAAGAAAAATGAAGTAGCCGACTTCCAGGACTTTGTTGAGGCGTGCGCCCATGCATCAGACGTCGTTGAGATGGCAGCGACTGACTTCCGCGACATCAGTAGCGGGATCAGCGCCAGCAGACTGAAAAAGCTAGCTGGCGAGGACCTAAGACCCACACTCAGGAAGATGAGGGCAGTTCAAGCGCGGCGAGGAGAACATAGGCTTTTCATGAAGGAGAGCCACGAACAGCCAACTTGGAAGGCCTACGAGATAACCAAAGTCACCTTCGACGAGATGGAGCAACCTCCGAGACGGAAGGTAGAGAGAGGAGTGAACAGAGACAAACTCGACAAGATAAAGTCGCGGTTGGCGCCGCTCATGAAGCCGCACAAGAGGGCCTTCTGGCTCGGACTCGAAGGCAAGAACGTCCGCGATTTGAATGGTTAGTCTGTGTGAAGGGGGGGGAGCGGGGGTGATCCAATGATCAGTCCGAAGCGCTGAGCTTTGGGTGATGAAATAAGATGAATTGAGATGACCTGGTGATGATTCAGTGTGACGAGACTGTTGGTGACTTTTGTTTGTTTTGAAGTTCGAGCACCGCGGTCTGCTTCGTCACACCTTCGTGACAGCGCAGTGCGTCAATCAATTTTTACTCGTGCCAATGTTGAAGTTGTTTCATATATGTTGGTGTTGCATGCATAGTTCAATGTAACATCCTCGCCAATTACATTGCTCTTGCGACAAGCATGAACAACAATTTGTACCTCCCCCAATACAACAGTTGCAGTGATTTTTGTTTGAGACAGGCTGCTGCTGGTTGCATCATCGGTCAGATTTTTCCGAATTCGAGAAAAGCATGCTCATCGGGTTGGGTTGATGTATTATGATCGACAAGTTCGATTAAAATACATCTCACATCCTCTTTTCTTGCATTATTTAAATCGCCCTGTAGGCATTTAAGCCATTCATTCTGCCATTCATTGTACCTGTCAATCTGAAATGCCTTGTAAATATTTGGGATAAAGTGCAGCTTTTCAAGGGAAAAAAGCGGCATCTCAATCTGAGACGAGTTGCCGCTTTTTTCCCTTGCATGGAACTTCAGATACAGTCGCTGGAGGCAAAGTCAATAAACATTAAGGCTGATATATTGCATTAGGGGCATATCTTATTGAAAATAAGGCGATAGTAGGATGTAGCAAGTCTTGCCGAGTCGAATGGTGGTAAGAATATTGTACTCCATCGCACAGCGCCGATATAAATACCTACAACTTGACTGAAATGGTTTTCTAGCTCTCCTGAAAAGTTCAATTTTCAGAGATGCCCTTTTTTTCCTTTGGACGGCAGAACTCTCCTAGACAAGCGGACAAGTCGCAATTGAAAAAAAGTGAAAATAGCCGGGAGCACTGGTTCAATGCCCCACAGAAACCCTACCCGCGCACGACTTTAAAACGAAGGGCATAGTTCAATGAGCTTAACTTTAGCGTAAAAATAACCACATTAACCATTATGTTTTTGTTCGAAAAAATAGTGATTATACAAAATTTGCTTTGTTGACAAAAGACATTTATAAAACTTGATTGTAATACACTTTGTTTTTAGATGAAAAAAAAGTTCTAACGTCAGGAGAATGACTGACAACAAACTACAGGCCTAACGGACCAAGCCAGTGCCAAGTTTTCTTTTTTTGTTGTTGTTGGGTTAGGCCCTTTGAGTCCAATCGGACCAAGTGCCAAGTCGATTATTCTCACCACAACAGACTCCCCACTGCTATCGCGAATCCCAACGCACGACTATAAAACACACCAGAATAATGTGCCTGCGACATATCAACTTAACAATGCATCTGATTCAAAACATGCTAGAAATATTTTTACAAAAACACGACATTCGTAGCATGTCTTCAGCATAACCCTTCACAAACCCTCAACACAACATTCCCCGCAGCCAGAGACACCTACCGGGCGGATTACTTCCTGCGCTTCTTTTTGTTACCGGTAGGCGGCGCGCGCGCATTGGGGTTGCGCCGCTCCCAGTTGGGCACCTGCCTGAACCGAGAGTTCCTGCCCAGCTGAGCTGCTCGCGAGTTCACGTCGTTCAGTGAGAACGGCGAGCCGCCCTGCACAAAGTCGTCCGACAGAATGGCGTTTCGGGCCTGCAGCAAACAAAAGGGAAGTGTCAAAATGGAGCACGTTAAATTGAGTAAATTACGATTGTTGTAAGCTGCTGCAATAAAAAGAAAGCCACCATTCGTAAGAACGTTCCCCGGAAGCCGCAGCATTGCACTTGAATCGCACTACTGTTCCATAATGACGCAGGGCACGAGGATACTCCTCCCTGACGATACCGATTCCCGCTGTCCCATCGCCAGCCCGGGCGGTACCGGCCGCTTTATTACCTGTGAGCGTGCCGTGGCGCGCTGCTGAGGCAGGGGCTGGTCTTCACACAGTACCGGCTGTACCGAGTACTTCCCTCCGCGCGGCAATGGCAGCGAGTACTTGGTGCCGCGCTTGCTGATTGGTTTCCGAGTAGAAATGTGGATCTCCTGCGAGCCGTCAGCCCTGAAAAACAAGAACAGACACAGGTTAGGAGACAGATACGATAATTCTCTGTCTATTTATGGAGGCAAACCACTATCGTCTGAACATCCGTTATCATGCACTTATTTAGCAAAATGGCCTACCATAAACCATCACATCAGTCACTAAGGGTACTTCTCAGCCACACAGACATTTTCAAGAGGCCTTGTCCTCACCTGAGCGTAACAGAGACACGTTTCAGCGTCTTGTTGCCACACCAGGGACAGAATGTCTTGTCCATGCGCGGGGTGACCTGGAAACATCCGAAGCAGCGCAGCACGAACCGGCGCACCTCTCGGATTCTTCGTCCTTCAATCGACACCAGCTCCAGGTTCATCTGCTTCAGCACGTTCTGCATCGTGAAGTCCGTGGTCATGCACGCCACCTGGGAACGCGAGGGGGCGGAGAGGAGTACGAGAGGATGTCAGTCAGCGAATAATCAAACGCGAACACCATTCGCCTAGGAGGCACAATTGATCGGTATACCGACAGAGTATTATGCTTTCTTAGCGAAATGGTAAAGCATTAGTGAAACAATGGCGAAAAAACAACCACTTCAATCAGTTGTCGTGTCCGACCAGGGTGGGCCGTTACGTGGAAAATTAACTATGAGGGTCACCAAGGATTTCGCAACACAGCGTTACGGGTCAGAACCCGTGCCAGTGATGATCCAGGTGATGAGGACCGCTTAGTGTTGGTTCTATTTCTAACCTCTGAAGTTCGATCATACAAAAAATCCAGACTAAATAAAAACAAAGAATATTAAGAATGAAGCAGATTATGTCAGGGTTATCTCACCTTAACGGGCTCTTCCACTTCACCGGCCTGAGCGTTCATCTCGTTTTTGGCGGCCTGAATGTTGCCCGGTGTAATCCAACCATCGTCCTCCTCCTCCTCCTCCTCCTCTACCTCTTCCTCCTGCTGCTCATCGCCGTCCTCCTCGTCTCCCTCTTGTGACTCAATCGCATCTGTATCTTTTGTCTTCTTGCTCTCAGTTTCTCCAGCATCCTCATCAGTGTCGCCCTCCTCAGGGTCCTCCTTCGCGTCAAACATCTCCTCGCTGTTGGGGTCATCTGTCTCTGCCTCTCCTCTCTTTCGTTCCTCCCTCTCTCCCGCAGTCTCATCGCCACCGGGTGCCGGAGCCTTCCCCTCCCCATCCTTCACCTTGTCACCGTCCTGCGCATCAGTTCCCGTTCCGACCTGTTCGCCGTCACCTCTGGACTTCTCGTCGTTCCCTGTCACAGAGAGCTCTCCAACCTTTTCCACGAAGCCGACCGGCAGCTGGCCGAGTTTGTGCTCTCTCGGGTGGTACAGCTTGGTGTCGGTGCGCGAGGCGGCTGGCAGTAGACGGATGTGCCCACCGCCGACAGTTTCGCGCGTCACCTGTAGTGTCAGCGCCAGCACGCGCACGTCCGTGGCGGACAGAAAACGCAGCTCGCCCGTCTTGCGCGCAAAGTCAGAGATCTGTCTGATGCACTCATCGCTAGGTTCTTTGAGCTTCAGCTCATAAGGCAGAACCTGAAGCCGATCCCGAGTGGCCTTGTCGCGAATTTCTGACACGACCTCGGGAACGGTGAGCACATTTTTGGCCATGTGATGGAGGGGCACATTGAGGAGGAAGGCTCCAGAGTCTGCCACCAAGTTGTCAATGTATGGTTCTTGAATCATCTTAAATCCTTCAAATGTTGTCCAGGTCCAGATCAGTTACTGCAAAAAGTCAACTCAGTCAACTGAAAGACATTGATGTGGAAATATGACATTGGTGTGCATCTTTGCCACAAGATAAGCTTTTACAGCACAAACAATATATAGCAATAAATATACACTCCTTTCGATCCCACAGTCTTCACTGCAACCATTTTATCATGTCTTTTATAGATAATTAGTATGCGGTCTAAATGGCTGAATGCATGGTTAATGGTTATGGAATATGAATTGGTTCTTCATTCTTTTCATAAGTTTGATTCAGAAGTTTGAATTGGGCTCTACATCAACCTTGCTAATAGCTACCTGTTCTAGAAATACTTTCAATTTGCTGCCTATTAGTTATTAAGCTTATAACTATTTACCAAGTTTTATACAATGTTGAAAAGGGACATATTTAACACAACACCCTCATTTAAAAACACTTCTTATTATAGGTCACCACACACTGTTATAATTCAACAATATCATTTACCAGAGGTCTGCCTCCTCAAACATCAGCATTCAGCAGATTTCTCGAGCCAACCAAAAGTGTCCTATAGGTTAGTCATAATAGCTTTGAACTGTGGTGAGAGTGCATGTTCCCAATACAAAAGTCCAGGGTTCAAGGAGACATTGGCAGTAAATGTTTGAGGCTCTTGACAGCCTGTAATTGTTAGCCAACTGCAAAAGTCACTAGTCAAGGAGGCTGACTGGCAGTATACAGCTCAATGTGCATGCATTTAGATTTAGAATCTAATACTATTGACCAGGAATTGTGAAATATGAGGATTGATAGCTGAAGCAGGCTGACGCAATACGTTTAACAGGGTGCTGTACATATAGATCCGTCTATTAAAAATGACTTACTTTATCATTTGCATTTGCCTCCCATTTCCCTGACTTGCAATAAGTGATTAGGTACCTATATTTACCATTACCCAGTGAAACTACACCATTTTTGATCAATTTAAAGACATATGAAGACCAATTTAAAAGTTGATTTCCTAATTAAAGCAACTGAAAGACAGGACAGACAGACTGAAAGACAGACACATGCTATTCAGCTTGAAACACCTGTCACATGATTTCACGTGTCAGGTTTTAAGCTGGTGTCACATGTAACCCATCTTTAAATTGCTTTGATTAGGAAATCAACTGTTTTAAATTGGTCTTTATTTGTCTTAAAATGGATCAAAAAATGGTGTAGACTTGTTGGGAATTATTACTCAACTCATCAACCAAACAAATGTCATTTATCACTATGCTGCTTCATTCGCGGTGTTCAAAACATTTCAAAAATATTATTCATCTCTTTTATACAACATGCAGCAACCAGTTTTCCCAGTCTGAGTCATACTCTCCACGAATCTCGTGCTGTGTTAAAAATATAAACCGTGGGTCAAATTGAAAAATGGACCATACCAATAGGTACCTAGGTATCTACTTAACCTGTAAAGCTAACCCAGGATCCTTACTGTTAAGCCCTGCCGCTGCATGCAATTAAGGTAATGCCAAGCACAAACCATACTGACACAAGATGCGAACATCAAAATGGCCATAATATTGATATATAATCATACATTCCATTCAATCAAGGCCTCGTCTAACATGTTAACTGGGGGGGCCAAACCCCCGCAGTCACCGGCCTGGCCCCCCCAGTCAGGGCAAAAAGTCACTACTGGGGGGGCCGGCAATAGCCAAAAGGCAAACGGATTTTTAGTTCAAGGCGTCAGTGCACATAAAAGCAAATGTGTAAACGAAACATGGATGCAATGTGAGCACATTGATACCTACCCGATTACTTAGGCCTGTTATCAATTGTTTATTTTGTTAACCTGACCTTTACCATTTTTTTTTTCGCTCAGCAATATGTTACATGTCGTCTTTTCAGGCGCCCAATTCCGTGTCTCGGATATTCTTTTTTATAAATTTAGTCCGAATCTTTTGAATGGAAGAATTCACAAGGACAGAGCCCCCGCTAATCAGAGCTTGTTGCGTTGGCTCTGCCCTCTACCCTCCGATCGCGCAATTCCTGATCTATGGCAGAATTTAGAGCCCAAAGTTTTACGTATGCACATAGCCGCGCACGGCCGGTCCCCTCACTGACTTCGACTGGTTACGGCCTGCTTCTAATCGTAATGAAGCAGGATCCCGTGGTGGTCGTACGTAGGTGCAGATTGGTGGTCTGTCTGTGGGGACGGGAACTGACAGCTGGATTATCTAAAGAAGTCGGCGTGGAGTCCCGGTGGGCAAATGCCAGCCAAATGCCAGCCTGTAGGGTCCCAACGGGCTTCAAATTGCATACTTCACGGGAAATCTTCATTTTTTGTTTAGTTTATACTGCCTCTGACAACCTTAAGGTTGTGTCGGAGATCCACGGCGATTACGACTTACGGAGAATCCACCTGAGAAGCCATCAGTCTCCAAGTTGATACGTAGGCATTACACTAGTCTGAGGGGACCCTAGTGGGAAAATACTGTCTCCACTCAGCTTGATCCTTAAAGCCTGGTATGGATCATAATAAAGCCAGTGTGGGCTACCATAGAGGCCGGCGTGGGTCCAGAAGCTGGTATTAGCCCTCAGACCTCGGCAGAGCTCAGAGTCAAGCACTCAGTCTATGCGTGTGGGCCCCCGACACAAGGCTCGGCATGTAAATTCCATAGACAAGGCACTGCCGCTCAAAAACGCTCAACACCGATAAGTGTGATTATTACTGTCTGGTGGAGCAATGTGAGGAGGCTTCAAACTAATATAAAAGCATGGGTCGGATGGCCTATTATTTTTTCTTAAGTTTTCAAAAAAAAAAATCATTGTGTCAGGGCTGTGATGAAAAATAAGTGGTCTAAATCCGGTGAGAAAACAGGATTTGGGGTACCCTAGGTTTGGCTCCTTCAGGCTCTGGCCCCCCCAGTGAAAATTCCTTAGACGAGGCCCTGCATTCAATTGATTCAACACACCCACCGGGGTCTACAACGCACCCAAGGCTAAATAAAACGCACCTATTTACGTCGGGATGCACGTGGACGTGGCTTCCTGGCTCCACAAGAAGCGATTCTAGCGAGAATGGTAAAAGTCGTAAAAGTGATCAGAAGCCAGAATTTAGTTACGTCACGAGCACAAATGATATTGACCCACCAAAAACATATGGTTATAACTCTACCAAAGATATATATGAAAAAATGAGTTCACTTTACGGATCTGAAATAAGCAAAAACTGCACCTGCTTTATGACCTGCAGATTGCAGATTGAGATGGCCCTCAGCCTGCTTCTCAGCTTCGCGCTGAGGCCTCCTCGAGGGTACGTAACAGGCCCAACAAATGAAATCCCGCGGGTACAGCATTGCCGCCGAAATTGTCTGTTTTCAGTCAGATTCGCAACATAAAAAATCGCTTCCATATGATAAAAAAGCTTCATTGCAAAGAAAACGCTCTTGACTTATTTGCAAATTTTTATAAAAAATTGAACATATTTGATTAAAAACACAACATAAATGAGAAACATTAGATCATTCTTGTGCTTCAAATGAAGTTCCTTGATCTTAAACAGATTCAACTTTTTTTTTGCTTGTGACTGTTTTTCAATTGATGCAGTGAAAGAAAGGCAAACCTTTGTTTACGTTAGGAGACAAGCGGTGCCGGTTATTCACACTATTGATTCACACACCTCACGCTTCTGTGGCTTTATTGCAAATTGCTGGCAAATTGAATATATTATATAGTTGTGGGGCCTTGTTGCTAATCGTAGATTATTGGCATATGTGTTTGGTGTTGCAAGACGTTGTCTTCTTCTAAACGTTAAACGTAGCTCAGGAAGAAATCCAGGTGGGTTTGATCAGACTGGTTAATTGGTTCACCTTTTTTGGATCGATTCAATCATTAATTCATTTGATTTTTGTCTGGTTCAATCACCGTTTGATTCCTTCAAAAAAGTTGTGTCATACTGGCCACCTGTCCCGGTTCTACAACCTACAAACCTACAATCTAACAACCTAAATGGCAATGATAGTCTCATAGGCCAGTCTGCAAAAGGTGGCAGGGAGCTCGGCGAGATTTTCGGGGCAGACGAAATTCTGCCCCGAATCAGGGTGCTGAGAGATGCGGTGCAGCCCAATTCTGGTTCCCAAATGGTATAATGGTCCCAGGGGCAGCCCATTTCCCATCTTTTTCTCATCTCTGCCCCAAGATTTCTCAATCCTGCCCCGATTTCTGCCCCGATTGTGAGCTGCCCCAACGAGATCTCGTTGAAACCTGCCATGTTTTTTCAGCCTGCTCATAGGTACTACCAGTACCTATCATTTGCCATTTGGCCTATTTGTTTCATTGTTGTTCGTTGTTATTAGGTATTTATACTTTATAGATTGAACGAGCTGAATAAATATTGATATTGTAATTGTAATTTATGTGGTTGGCTTCTTCACAGGTTTGACTATGGCTGATGATGGTGATGCCAAGAAAGACGAGGGAGAGAAGAAGGTGGTGCACACATATCCACTTTGCCGGGTTAGTGCAGCTTTCTTTTATCCATCTCACATCAGGTCAATTCAGAGAAGTAGATGTCATTTGGAATTTTTAAGATCTTTTCCATGTTCTTGCAGATGCTGTCTGAAGGTCATAAGAATCAGGGCAGCAGAGTCAGAGTCAGAGTCAGTCAGAGTTGACAGTTCTGCCTGGAGTTGGAGTCTGAGCCACCAAAACCTTACCGACTTAGACTCTGAAGTTGGAGTTAGCGTGAATGGCTCAGCGCCTTGCGCTTCATCTGTTTGATCGACGATACTACGCTCGTCGACTTTGCAAATTAGATTTTGTTGAAAAAAGGCCATATGCTTGTTCTGGACGAGCGTGTTCAGCGAAAGAAGCAGAAGACGGCAGACGCACCAGAACCTGCCCCTAACTTTGCATGCTACCTATTTATAAAGCATATTTGCACTGCAAGGCCGTGAAACGCACCCAAGATCGTATCAGGCAAAATAAAAACATCTTCAATATGAACATTATTACCATAATATGGATTTTAGGAGAAACGTCCGGAGTCGCAGTCGAAGCTGGAGTCAAAGTTGGAGTCGATTTTTGAAGCCGGAGTCGTGGTCGGAGTCACCCGGAAATCCATCGACTCCGCAGCCCTGATCAGAATAGCCATTTTCCGCTTGCGTTTCCATAGGATCGGAAGTCGGAACGCCAATACCTGGTAGTGTCATCTGCTGAAACCTTGCCTAGAAAGGAGCATTATGCTGCCATAATGCTACATGGAACGTGCCGTGTTGTGCACGTTTTCAACTCATGGGAGGAGGGAATGGGGAGGAAAATCCGGCATTCAATTCAGCCAATGGGGCGAAAATGGCTACTTGGCTACTTTTTCCACCGTTTACCCATAGGTTTCTCTATAGCAGCAGGAATCACGTTCGAAAGGACTGGAGGCTAGAAGTTTTTTTGCAAAATTGCTATTCGGTCACGGGTTAAACGGTTGCAAACAAGAAATTACGCCTAAGAAATTAGTTAATTCCTATAGGTGGAGCTGCTGCACACGCTTATTGCCGTCACCAGTAAGCGGACGACGACCGCCGTCCCATCCCTCCGAACCCCCTCTCGCCCCGCTGACTGCAGCCGCGCGTCAGGCTGCGGTCTGTTTGAAGTGTCTTTAAAGGGACCCTCCCACCTTAACATTAGCTTTGAGTTGAGATAGCCAAGTTTGCGGCCAGGCTCAGAAACCACCATTTATCCTGGTCGCAACCCCCGCAGCTTTATGGTGTTCAAGAAATTTCTTCCCTTTACTTGCAGGGTGGGACCAGCGTGGTCCCTATCTCTTAACCATTACGGGAATCTGATGACGTCATCAGGCTTTCGAACGTCCGTTAAATGTTTGACTAAAACGTTTTGTAGCACGCAGTGGTATACGCTGCTTTGCGCGCAACAAATGCCGCACTTTCAAATAAAGTCGCTAGGAACAGCGGAGATCCCAAAAAGTAAACAAAAGTAAAAGTCTAATATCTTGAAAACCGGTGAATATTTTTCGATGAAATTTGGTAGATATTCGTTTTTGCTCTTTCTGAACCGAGTGACATCACTTTCATGCCAATTCATTAACTTTTCTTGAAGGTGGGACTGGGAGGGTCCCTTTAATATCGCAGGCTTGCCTTTGACAAACCCTAGTGCCTTTGCTTTCGACAGTGCTTTAGATGCCCCACAGGCTTTAGAATGCGTTCCCATCTACATTCGCTGACTGCGACTATATATAATGTCCGGTTGTTTAATTCCTGTTGATCGGTTCTGGCGCCCGTTTCGCCATTGACGCCATATTTCGTTTGATTTCTGCCCAGCAATCGGACATGCCTGAGGAGATGAGGACCGAGGTGATGGAATTGTGCGTCACGGCCTGCGAAAAGTACTCATCCAACAACGAGGTAAGCAACATTGGATCGCAGGATACTGTTTTGACGCAAGCCGAATGATTAGGGATGCAATAAAAGTGATTATTAGGTACCCATTACCTACCATTTTATACAATGTTCCAAAAAACATCTAGTAAAATGAAAGACACATTCAACGAAAATAATCAATTACTTATAATAAACGGGGCTTCTGAGCATAGCATTGTCAAAGCATTTGTTTGTCGATCATCGTCTGTCTGTTATGAGGGTGTGAAGCGTAAGCATAAGCAGCAATTTTCTAGTAACTGTTTGGCACCGGAGTTATTGTTTGCATCACGGATGAGCATTACCGATGCAAATCATCTTTTCAGAGTGCCGCCCGGATGATAAAGGAGGCGATGGACAAGAAGTACGGAGCCCCGTGGCACACGGTGGTCGGCGAGGCGTTCGGCTTCGAGGTCTCTCATGAGTGTAAACACCTTCTCTACATGTTCTTCGGAGGGAATATGGGTATATGTGTGTGGAAATGTAACTAAGTGTCCTGCATCAGGGGTCATGTACTTTACCTCGCTCTGGTTAGTTGGCTATTAAAAAGCGTCATTTTGATGATCTGGTATGCGCATGAAACACGTTCATGCAAATGTGTCGTCCACCCATTACTGAACATTCCATTGGATGGTGCATCCTGCTGATGATAATTTGTACATTTTGTACAGTTCAATGCGAGCGATATTCTGCTGTGATATTCTCCGTTCATTGTTGTTTTGATATTTCCAAAGCGTGTTCAACTTTATATGATAGTGATTTTTCTTTTGAATAAATGTTCCTTATGATGATATTTTTTTTTGTTAGAATAGGGATTCCAAATTTTCCAATTTACTCTTCTGTTTCTGTCGATTATGCACCAGTAGGTATTCGTACACACCAGATTTACTCTTTTTTCTTCATTTGGGAACAATCGGCCTCTAGGTCATTATTTAGAGGCTAGAGCGATAAGGAGAACAGCATTACCTCCTATGAAGCACCGAACATATCAATGTGTGATATTACCTGTTGAGTCATGGTATGTGAACAAGTTCACTTATCTCAAAACCATCTTCTTTTTACCTGGGGCTAACCTGCGAGAAATCTGGAGATTACTAGATTTAGCCTGTTTTGAGAACGATTTGTGTGAAATTCCAGGATGCATGGGCATTGACATCCACATTTCTGAAGACCAAGCAGCCAGATCTGGCACTTTTACCTGTGATGAGAGCTGCACATTTTTGTCACAGCTGGAATACTGAATTGTACCTGCAGCCATTGGGAACTTCTGCAGCTCTGCTTCCCTGGTTACACAATAAGATAAGGATAAAGATCATGCCTTAGTCTTTAACTACATATAGCTTAGCTGCCATAAAATCATCTGCTTGCTTCCTACTACATCTAGCATGGAATGAAAACTTATGGCCACAGGCAGAGGTAGTATAATGCATGCTATTGCTGCATTATCAATGATAAGCTGTCCCTACCTAGCTGGCAATTTTTTTCAGCTCTATTTGAATGTAAGTTCACTCTAAAGCATCAGTTTATAAATTTTATTACAATGTCATGTGACATCCATATTGAAGAATGCATGAAAATTCTGAATGAGCATATTGCTGATCAGCTTACTTCAAATCTTAAGCTGGATTGAGAATTGGTTATCTGATCGACAACAGAGGGTAGTGCTAAATGGCACTAAATCAAAATGGAGAAATGTGCTAAGTGGGGTTCCACAGGGATCCGTCCTGGGACTATTGCTTTTCTTAATTTTTGTCAACTCTATCGAAACTGTTGTGAATAGTGATGCGCTGAAATTTGCTGACGATCTTAAAATATTTAGGGTTATAGGGGACGATAAGGATCATAATGAGCTCCAATCAGATGTTGATAGGCTCGTAAAATGGTCAGAGCAGTGGCAAATGAAGTTTAATTTTAAAAAGTGCAAGGTCATGCATATTGGTAGAGAACATTATGACACTTCATACACAATGGGGGGACAAACATTATGTAATATAGACAGTGAAAAGGACTTGGGCGTGATTATTAATAAGAAGCTTTCTTCAACTGAACAAGTACAAGCAGCCAGAAAAAAGGCCCTTCGGATGCTTGGAGCAATAAACAGGAATGTTTCGTACAAAAGTGCAGAGGTTTTGCTTACGCTTTATTGTGCATACGTTAGGCCTCATTTGGAATATTGCGTTCAGTCATGGTCTCCAATGCATGAAAAAGATAGTTTGCTTTTGGAAAGAGTGCAAAAAAGGGCGACAAAGATGGTAAATGGTATGAAAGATCTGCATTATGAGGATAGATTAAAATCGCTTAAGCTATTTTCTCTCAAATACAGAAGGCTTAGGGGAGACTTGATCGAGGTGCTTAAATTCGTAAATGGCCAAGCCACAGGATACCTTAAGGATATGTTTGATTTCAATTTGGAGGGCAGAAGCAGGGGCCATCAATATAAGCTTGCCATTAAACGTAGCAGGACAAAGTTAAGGCAGTCGTTTTTCAGTAGAAGAGTGGTAGGTCATTGGAACAGTTTACCAACTAGCGTAATAAGTGCAACCTCTCTCGAAACATTTAAACATAGCCTCGACAAATACTTTACAGAGCGGGATATAGTATACAGATATAGGTGGGACTAGCCAACTGATGTGTGCATGTGATCAATGTAAGATGTGCGTAAATAGCAAAAATTATGCCTGGTATTAGGTTGCAATATGTGTGCAGAATGTTGTTGCGGGTGTTTGATGCTGTTCCGTTGAGCTTACATGCGAATTGTTTGGAGATGCCTTGCATGGCAGTGGACTTGTGAGACATTTGGCGATGATAGTGCGTGGCGGGGGGGGGGGGGGCAGGGAAGAGTTGTTACGAAATGATTGATGAAGTGATGAAGTGGCAAAATGTTGTGTAATGTGGTGTAGGTATGATTTATGCCTGCAATGTGTCGCTGTTTTGTGCCAACTTCACACACATAAGTTAGGGAGAAAAGCGGAAAGGTGGCACGCATTTTGACAGACTGTGCAAATGTGCAACCAAGTATGGGCCCCAGTGGCTCTTTGTTGTACTGCAAATTTATGTCTTTATGTCTTTATTGCTTTAATTACATGTTGACGCAATGGTTGCATACCCTAGCTCATATTATTTGCACAGTATTGTCAAACAGTTAGGTGGGCATCAATCCATAATAACAGATAGGTAGCTACATATGACTCAGTGCCTATATATATATGTAAATGTCACCATCCATGAAGAAAATCCATGTTGATATTGATGCTTCTTGTTATTGACTATAAAACAGCAAAGGAAATGATGATGAGAATGTATTCTGCACTTAGAAAGCCAGCTTTTTCATGAGCAGGTATATGTGGTTGTCTTGTTCGAATCCGTGCAAATTGTTGGCATCACCCTGAAGCCTCATCAGGAGTCCGCCAAAGGACACATAGGCTGACAGTCGACCGCTTCCATCTCCAGTCAGATCGTCTCCCTCGATCCTGTAAATCTTGCCATGCATCACATACTCGAAGCTGTCCGCCCGAGATGGGCCTGTTTCTGATGCATTGAACTCTGAATCCATGGGGTACCCATCTTCTTTCAAAGTCTTAGCAAGAACGAGTCGGAATTTATCACCAAGCTCCATGGGATAGATCCACACATTGATGTCTAGAATCAAATCCATTTTGAATGACTCTGACTCACAGTGGAGTCGGCTTGTCCGCTCGAACTTCTTTCCTCCAGGGTCGATATCTTTCACATCGAAAATGTCTTCAAATAGTACCCCAGCCATGAGGAAGTCTAGCAATCAAAATATTTGCACAGTCTTGATGTATATTCTTTTCAGCTATCAATTATTGCCACAAATAACTTCTATAGCAACCCATTCCTCTCGGGACACACGACAGCAAGGCCCTATATACCCACGACAGAATGCGGCACATGACGCGGAACGAGGAATGATCGGTTTTGTATATTGTGCGCCATTACTGTAAACAATATTGTTCTAAAACACTGCGGTCAAAGTGAACGCACGTTCTACACTATTCGACCGCCAGGCCTGCAACCAATCCATGCAACTCAGCAACCACCCGAATGACAAGAACGGGACTGTATCAGGGCATATTTTAACAAATTTTTACTGCGTCCCAAAGTTGAGCAGAGGGCACGTGCTACGACTAAGGGCACAGGGCAAGGAACAGAGTAGGGCAATGAGGAGGGCAGAAAGTAGGGCACGGCAGGTTGCAGGGCATGGCACAGGACATTTTAGAGGGAAGGCCGGGTACAGGTCAGGGCAGACAGCAGGGCACAGGTCAGGGAACCAGACAGGGCAGGGTCTAGTGATGTCAGTTGCGGAAAATCGGAATACCGATACCAAACCAAATACCAACCAAAACCACGGGAAAATACCGAAACCAAACCAACTTAGGAAAATGAGGGAAATACCAACTTTTTACCGATTTCTTAGTCTCTTATACATTAGTGAGGGTTTATGATACCAACAAAATACCAAACACATTACGATTGAAATACCAAATACCAAGTTGGTATCGGTTTGGTATCGGCCTATAGGTACCTACCAAAAAGTTGGTATCCGATTGACATCTCTAGCAGGGACGCAGTGGGTCAAATTAGCAGGGGCTACGTCCCAAGGCGAGGGGGCTGCGTCCCAAAATGGGACGCAGTAGGGGAGAGTGGGGTGGGTTGTATCAGTTTTTACTCCGAGACCCATAACCTCGTAACTATCCGTGATAAACTCATTATTTCCATACTATCTCCTTCCTTGATTCTTCTGCTTTTTTGTGCAAAGTAACTTTTCCGCTACCTCTACCAGTTTTTCTTCTACGGTCTGCCGAATAGAACAATGTTTTTGATACAACTTGCCCCATGGCTTGGGTGAGTTGTATCACATGGTGGGGTAATTTGTATCACGAGGTATTTCACGTTTCAGGGAGTGTGCTTGCTACTGGTTTTGAACATAACAACAACATTAAACGGGGTTAATACAATGTATATGCTCAAAGGCTTCACTTTTATTAGACCAAACTTAGGTCAATGCAATCCGAACGAAACATCGAAACGAACGAAACATCAACAGACTATTTGCAAAAGTGGCCCGTTAAGAGCAAAGAAGCCAACACATTGTGCCGAAATGGAAAGAGTACTGACTAGCTACCTACAAACGCGAGACAGGGCTTAGCTTTCGCGATCAAAAGCAATATACCCATACATACAAACATGTTACAACATACCCCACCCGGCTCTGATACAACATGTACCTCGCCGCCATCTTGAAAAAACATCCTCGTGCTCAAAAACAGCGGACAGCTGGAGAAATCCATTTTCACTCACGCAGCCTTAGAACCTACCCTCACCACCGCTACGGAGATCTTTCAAATTCGTGCACATCTAAATGCCCAAAACACACATTTTCTTGCAACTCATTTTTTTAGAATGACATTAAAAAAACATAAAATCGGCTCTCACCTCGAGACGCGTCCACCCAGCCACACGACAGAACAGGGAAAGATGGCGCCCGGAAAACCTCGTCGGCTGGTCGTGTCACGAGCGCTATCTATTGGATAAGTTTGGCACAATTCGCCCTGATACAACTTGGACATGATACAACTCTCCCCGCTCTCCCCTAAGTGCCTTAACCCTCGCCGGACCTATTGGCTTTCTACATACGCGCCGGCCGAGGGGTGGGGGGCGGGTACGACCCCCCCCCCTCGCCGTTTCGCCCCTGGTGAAGCTAGCGCGTCGCGGAAAAAAAACGAGCGTGTGCGCCGTTACGAGACGCAGAGACTGGTACCCGATTTTA